GCATGAACGAACGGGAAGAATTGCAGGTCAACTAACGTAGCATGCAGCGTGTCGTGCCACTCGCGGGGCGCCTGCCGCAGGCCGTAAACCGGTAGCCGGAGGAGCCACTGATTCCCAGGGGCAAGGGTGCATGTGAAGCCTGGCGGGCGACGCAGGTAGACGTGCTCATGCAGACTGCCCTGGAGAAACGCTGTACACAAGTTGAGGGAGTGCAGCTCGTAGTCACGCTGTGCTACTACGTGTGGCTGTGCCCGAAGAGTGGTCATCTTTAGGGTCGGGGCGAAGGTCTGGAAGAAGGCAACACGCTCGCGCTGACTAAAGCCTCTAGCTACGTAGCGCGCCTTGAACACCGACGGCTCTCCAAGAGGGCGCTTCACCTTTGAGAGCCGTCGGCCATCGACTACGTTCACCTAAGGTGGGGGAACTGCGTCAGCATAGGTGCCGGTGGATCTCCAAGATGCCATCTCCGCGTCCACGACAGCTATCCACAGAGAGGCCCTGGGTCTCGAGGTCGCCTCAGCGTAAGTGCGAGGGGTCAAGATATCAAAGGCGTCCGGGTCACCCTCAGGGACTAGCAGTATGGAGCAGAGATGAGGATCGGCCTCGGACAAGAAAGCGACTCGTACTGCCGGTCCTCCAGGACGTCACTGCCAAGGGCAGAAGCACCCCCGACGGGCGGAGGACGGGCAAGGTCAGAGACCAGAGCAGTGGCGTAGTCAAGGCCGTGGGTAGAGGCAAAGTCAGCGATGGCAGCGACAAGAGCAAAAAGACTAGAGACAGGAACAGATGGGTCGGTAACGAGGGAGGCAAGGACACGAGGAATAAGTGGACTAGCGGCACGAAGGAAGTTAGACGGAGGAGGCGGAGCGACAACAAGCGACGACAGAGGAGGCGACGAGAGGAGGGGAGGATGAGACACGTGGGAACAAAGCAACATAGGGTGAGAACGCTGGACAGGAGAAACAGGACGAGCACGAGAGGCACTGTGAGACCACCAGCGGGAGGGGGAGGTCGGGTCAAGAGACAAGGGAGGTGACGCAGTGGGAGAACGAGGGGGGGAATGCGCCGGAGACGAGTCTGGCGGAGGAAACTGAGGGTCGTAGATAGGCGAAGGAGGCGGCGGCCGGGGAGGCGTTGGCGAGTGGTCAGGGGAGGGTAGGCCGAGGAAGTGAAGGGCGGACACCGGCGGCAACTGCCTCTGCTGCTTCACACCGATACTAGAACCTCAAGCCGCACAACGGCTACCTCCGGGACGCTCCACAATAGCACCCCCAGAACGAGAACCCTCTCCAGACGTGAGACGGAGGCGTCTGGTCAGGAGACAGAGGAGCGGACACAAGAGGGGAACAAGGGGGAAGACGAGCCGGAGACGAGTCCAGCAGAGGGAACACAGGGCCGTAGACAGGAAGAGGAGGAGGCGACGGGGGAGGCGCATGCGAGCGGGCAGGGGAGGGAAGGCTGAGCAGGCGAAGGGCTGACATCGGCGGCGACTGCTGCTGCTGCTGCTCGACGATTACACTTGGACTGCCAGCTGCACTACGGCTACCTCTGGAACACTCCACTCTAGCACCCCCAGAGCGAGAACGCTCGCCAGCACCGGTGCCATGGTCGGAGTGAAGACGCAGCACAGGGAGGCTGCGATGGACTCGCGTAGCTACAACCCACGGGATAAGAACGTCAGGCACGTCAGCCTTCCGCTCCAAGGGAAACACCGTGGTGTAGCGTGTGTAGTCATGTACAAGCACCAGAAAGTAGCGCTCGCGACGCGGCCCATGGACGGGGGCTGGGCCCCAGAAGTCCATGTGCAGGGTCTGGAGTGGCGCAGTGGTGGGGGGGAACGAGGAGGAGTGAGGAGCACAACGCAGTCGGCCCTTGATGCAAGGATTGCACGGAGGCGCAGGCGAGGGAGGGAGGGCTGGGAGCGATGCAAGGAGACCTAAAGACAAGACCGTGCTGGGACATGTGACGTAGACGCTGGAGTGCGGGGTGATCTAGGCGGTGGTGCCACAGAAGCGACAGGTGAGTGAGCAACCGACACGAGCAAGCCGCAGCAACCTGGGAGGGCGCGGTCACCTGGGGGGATGCTCCCACCGGGGGGGACGGGATGTCTAGGTTGAACAAGCCAGACACTGGGTCTCGAGGGAAGGTGGTGAGAGGGGCACCAGTGGCGGCCTCAGTACAGACTGCGTACCGCTCGTGTCCAGGAAACAAGGTGGTGACGCCGAGGTCCTTAAGAAAGCCGACACCAACTAGGTTCCAAGAGATCGAGGGGATGTGCAAGCCTGTAAGAGAGCCCGAGGGAACCGCCTGACAGAGAAGGGTAGTGGAGCTACGTGCAACTACCAGACCCGAGGAGGGGTCAGCAAGCGCTACAGCGGCAGGTGCGGCGTGCGGTGTAAATGCAGTGTGGTCGCGAAAGAAGCAGGTCGACGCACCAGAGTCTAGCATGAAAGAGAGCGTGGCGGTAGCGTCCGCAGGCGGAGGAGCGACAGTGGAGCCGAGACTAAACAAGGCAGGTGGTACTATGCTTGACGCAGCAAAGGGACCTAGGCTACACATAGTGGACACACCTACACTAGGCAACATAGGGTAATAGGGTTCAGTCACACTAGAGTCATCAGCATACATGACATACATAGCAGACCTAATCTAATCCATATCCAGCTCAAAGACAGGCACACGACGACGCACCATGCTGTACCAACCGTGGGGGTCAAACGTAGGGTCGAAGCGGAGACAGAAGAGGTCGCCGAGGTGACGGTAGCAGCAGGCGGCGGTGTGACCGAGACAGACGTAGACGGTGCCGCGGCGGGGGCCGGACTGAAGCCGGTACTGGCAAGTGACCACACTGAAGCCGCCACCCAACACCAAGATGCGGGGCCCACTACCATAACGACCACCACTAGCGCCGCCAGGCCAATATGGCGGCGGGGGTCCCCACGACTGCTGCTGCTGCGAGTGCTGCTGTTGCAGCTAAGGCTGCTGCTGTTGCGACTGCTTCTACTGCGACTGCTGCTGCTGCTATTGCGGGGCATCAGCCCCAGTCCCCTCGTTTGCACCACCGTCCCTGCCACCACCTCCGCCACCTCCGCCACCCCGACCACCCCCGCCACGCCCCCCATTGGGGCGGCGGCCCTTACCCTGACGCGGCTGCGCTGAGGCCGCGGCGGCAGTCTCAGCAGCAGGGGCTGTCTTAGCAACAGCGGTAGAAATGTCATAGTAAGTGCACTGGGAGGGAACACAACCCTGGAAGATAGGGACCGCCGCAGTACCGCTAGACTGAGCGATAGTGCGTTGGCGAGTCTCTATCGCAGACAGGGCAGTGACAAAGGCGTTAAGGGTGAGGTCACCAGGGTGCTAACTAGGGAAGTGGTCGCGGGCAGTGGCAAGGCAGGCAGGGAGGCGTGTGCCAATGAGGTAAAGGGTAGCGCAAAGCGGCACCGGGAGTGCAGTGAGCTATGCCTCGGTGCTAGCGACGCGGTAGCTAGTCTCAAGTGCGCGGAGATGGGTGGCAAGGTCAGTGACAATGGGGAAGGACGCAAGACTAGGGAATAGCATGGGGAGGATTAGACGACCGGCAGAGGCGGAGGAGGGGGGGGAACTGCGCGCAATGACCGCATCTAAGTATTCCTTCGCATTCGTTACAGCGGTTAAGCGGGGATGCTCAGACAAGGGGAGGGCGTAACTAATAGCAAGCTGTGCGACTGCGTCGCGCGACTCCCAGACAACGTGGGCAAGCTGAGCAGCGGCAAAGGCCTCACGCTCAGCAGACGTGGGGGTGTCAACGAGGGCAGCAGGCGCGGTGAGACAGGGGAGCTTACCGTCGACGTGGACAGCCAGGGAATAGCCGTTCAGGCGCTGACCTGTCAGCTGGCGACGGAGGTCGACGAGCCACGCCTCAAAGTCAACCGCCCGACCCTCCGCGTCCAGGCGGAGCACAGGGTCCGCCATCACCACGGGTGCAGCAGCTGACTGCCGCTGGAGGGGGAGAAGAGCGGTGGAGAGCGCTGGATAGCAACGGGGAGCGGTGGAGAGCGGTGGAGAGCGGTGGAGACGGCCAGCGGGAGCGCCGGCGCCAAGGGGAAGCCAAGGCCGGCAGGTCGGCGTGGTAGTGCGGCGACGCGGCGGCTCGGAGGCTCGGGGGCTCGGTGGTTCAACGATGCAGCGGCGCAGCGGCTCGGCGGCTCGGTGTGGCTAAGGCCATCAACGACCGGGGCCGGCGCGGACAGGGGCTGGCGCGGACGTGGACCGAAGCGGCAGGGGCCGGCGAGAAGGGGATTGTGAGCAGAGGCCGGCTAGAGCTTGGGCCGGCACGTTAGGGCCGGCGAGTAGCGGGCCAGCGGACGAGCACGGGGCCAGTGGGGGAGATGCGGCTGGTGGCTACAGGCGGCTGGCGGCTACGGGCGGCCAGCGGCTACGGGCGGCCAGCAGCTACGGGCGGCCAGCGGCTACGGGCGGCTGGCGGCGACGGGCGGCGGGCGGCTGGCGCCTACAGGCGGCCAGCGGGCTGGTGGCTACGGGCGGCCAGCGTCGACAGGCGGCTGGCGGCTACGGGCGGCACGAGGCGACGGTTGGCCAGCGGCGGTGAGCGGCGAGCAGCTAGCAGTGGTGGCTAGCGACGGGCGGCTAGGGCTAGGGCTAGGACGAGGGCGGAAGCGCGTGTGGGCGGGGAGGACCAAACCTAGCGTGATACCATCTCAAGGTAATGGAATAATCTAGTAAGAGCGTGTTCCTACGAGCCTCTTCCCAGGCAACCTCTTCCCAGACTCACGCGCGACCTTGAGAGCGTGTTCCGAGGACCACTTTTCGGAATACTCCCGTTTCATATTTGCGTTCCATCACTCTCAACCACATAAAACCAGCTGGCGTCGAAAATTTACTGTGCAGATTCGCGCTTGTCTGAAAATCTGCTCGTCTGAAAAGAGGTTTTAAAACACGCCCCTGACTCTCGGGAAGCTGAATCTCACTTTGCACTTCGCGGAATTGCACTGAAACATTTCGCGTCAAAATTTGCGACACTATAGCACGCGAGTCTGGGAAGAGGTTGCTTGGGAAGAGGCTGGTAGGAACACGCTCTAAGAGAGATGCAGGGTGGTTTTGTGCCGAGGGGTTGTACTCTCCAAGAGTATGCACCTACCTATCTAGCCTACAATAACATATGCACAGCACATATGTGACATAAATTACACTTGGAGGCCAACCCCCATAGTGAACCTCAGGAGTCATTTGCTCCACAATACCAAGCTTCAAACAATGCATTTGGGAAATGAGGCGAGTGGAGTTGGACGGGCACGACATGCTGGCTCTAGAGTCAGCTTAGGTGTTGAGCAAGCTGTTGCAAACGTGGGAGAGCCAGGCAGCACAGGCAGCACTCATCACAAGCTCAGGCAGAGCCATGTGACAAGGGCACCTTTTGTTGTGGCGGGTGCTCATAGGCCAACAGCTGGTGGGCTGCCACCACATTGCGTCCGTGCTACCAACCTACCAGTGTGAGCAGCCAGCCGCTGCCAGGGGTGAGTCGCGGTGTGCCATGGCGGACTGGAGAGGGGGGTGGGGAGGGGGTGGGTTCACCGCCAGGCAAGGGGCTGAGGCGGCGAGCACACGGTGCGGTGCGGTGAGCAGGGTGGGGTCCATTCACAGGGGTGGCAAGGGGCCAGCGGGCGCAGCAGCCAGCATGCGCAGGAGGCGTGGTAGGGTGAGGGCGCCAGGGCCAAAGCCGTCAAACACCGCCCGCACACCCCTGAACTCCGCCCCTGATGTCATGCTGGGGGCGGTGGGGGCAGGAAGGGGATGGGGGTGTGCACATGAGAGGACAGGAGGAGATGCCAAGGGAGAAAGTGTGGAAAGTGTGGTGATGACGGATGGGCCATGTGCGCTCACTGCAGTGTGCAGAGAGTATGACAGGCAGCAGAGCAGCAGTGTGGTGCTGCGCATGGCATGGGATGGCATGGCGCACCTGCTTCGTATGACACACGTGGTCATGCCCGCTCGTCCTCCCAGCTGCACGGTAGCCTGACAGCCCGCCAGAACCACACAGCGTACAACCGGCACTCCCACCACCTCCGCTGCTGCCCTCAGCATGGCAATGCCCCACTGGGACTCAGACCTGGCCGGGAAAGGGGACAAGTGAAGGGCGGAGGAAAAGAAGCATGTGATTAAGGGAGTAAGAGCAGTGGTTGTTGCATGGGAGCCCTTTTGTTTGCATATGTGTGCTCTTGAGGTGTGTGTGTGCTCTGTGCATGTGTGCATGCTAGTGCAAGTGCATGCTGGTTGTATGTGGCATGTGGATGTGCATGTGCATGTGCGCACACACATGCATTTGTGTGTGTGCGTGTGCACGTGTGAGACAGAACGAGCGAGAGTGCGGATGCAAGGAGCGAAAGGGGGCGTGTGAGGGGCACAGACGGGGTGTCGAGGTCCACTGTGAGCTTAAGCGTGCGCGCCACCTCCTCTGCTATGCGCAGCTTCTCAGCCAGCACTGCCACCACCTCGTTGACACGCACACACATGCACACACATGCACACACATGCACACACATGCACACACATGCAGGCACATGCACACACATGCACACACATGCACACACATGCAGGCACATGCACACATGCACACACATGCACACACATGCACACACATGCACACACATGCACACACATGCACACACATGCACACACATGCAGGCACATGCACACATGCACACACATGCACACACATGCAGGCACATGCACACATGCACACACATGCACACACATGCATGCACGTGCACACATGCACACACATGCACACACATGCACACACATGCACACACATGCACGCACATGCACGCACACGCACACACATGCACTCACGTGCACAGACATGCACACACATGCACCCGCATGCACAAAAATGCACAAAAATGCCCACTTGCACACGCATGCACACACATGCACACACATGCCCGCACATGCACACACAAGCACACATGCAAAAACGTGCACACACTCGCACACACACGCACACGAACACACACGCACACATGCACACACATGCATGCACGTGCACGCACATGCACGCACATGCACACACATGCGCACACATGCACACACATGCACACACATGCATGCACATGCACACACATGCACACACATGCACACACATGCACGCACATGCACACACATGCAAACAACACACCCACAATGGCAGGAAGACACAACCAGTTGACAAAAGGTGCAAGCATGTGGAAGCAGCAGCGTTGCATGGCATGGCAAGGCATGGTGCGGGCAGCAGACCTACCAGCCTGCGCGATTTGTGCTGCGAGCGCCTCATCCACGCCTGCGCTCGCCCCGCCTCCCAGTGCCACCTGCCCGAACGCACTCTCCCTCGCGTCCTCCTCGCCCACCACGCGCACCTGCCGCTGCAGCGCTGCTGGCATGCCCTGCACCAAGGCCCTGCCGCCACACAGCCAGCAGGGTGGCAGGGGGCAGGTGGGGGGCAGATGGGGCGGCAGATGGGGGGCAGATGGGGGGCAGATGGGGCGGCAGGGGGGGGGGGGCAGGAGGGAGAAAGGGTGAGACGACAGGCATGTATGTTTCAATGGTGCAATGGCGCCAATGCCAGTGCCATCACCATGAACCCTCCCTCCTTCCCTCCCCTGCCCATCCTGCCCCATCCCATGCCCCTCTGCCCCTGGGCTCGCTCCCATGCTCACCTCGCTGTCTCCTCCCCACTCCTCGCCAGCCCTGCCAGCACTGCCACGTGTACCCCATCTGTCACCGCAGCCTGTAGGAACCTGCCACGTCACATGCATGAGGCAGAGAGGGGTTGGTGGGGCGGGACGGTGGAGGGCGGGGAGCGTTGAGGCATGGTGGCGGTGAAGGAGGAGGGACACAGGCTGCAGTGGAGATGGGGAGAACGGCTGGAGCGCAGAATAGACGCACGTGGGGGAGGTGTGAGGCAGGGGACGAGGGAAGGGAGAGAAGGGGAAGCGATGGGCCATAACGTGAAGGGGTGCGAGATAAGAGGTAGATGTGCAGGGCGCATAATGGCGTGCCAGCCATGACAAGCTAGAACCATGGCCCCTGAGTTGTCACTATCTAGCTACAAGCCTTCCTCATGACTCAGGCAGCCAGCAAACCACCTCTTTTCCTCCATTCCCCCCTGTGCCTGGCCCCTGAGCTCACAGTGACCCCTCCCGCCCTCCCTGACTTACTCCACGAGTCCGGGCCGCAGCGGCACGGAGCCCTGCTGCACTGCACGAGACAGCTCCTGCGACTGGAGGGGAGAGGCACACATGCATGCACCAGAGGGGCGGAGAAGTGAGGGAGTGGAGTGTGCCACGTGAGGGAGGGGGAGAGGGGGGAAAGGGGAACGAGGAAAGAGGAAGAGGTGGCGAGTGGTATGACATGACATGGCATGGCACGGCACGGCATGGCATGCCATGGCATGGCCTGCAGAGTGGAGCGCACCTTGAGGTGTAGCAGTCGCTGCACCAGCGCCTGCTTGCCCTGTGCGTCCAGAGAGGGGATCGGCCATGCCGTCTGGGGGATGGTCGCGAGGGGGGCGGGCACAGGCGGTAGGAGGGGAAAGAATGGGTGTGTGAGAAACAGAGAGTGGACACGAGATGGGGGGAAGAAGAGCACGGCAGTGACGTATGGATTAGAGGGATTAGACGTGGCTATGGAGACATGCGCACGTGGGGGGGATCGTTCGGAAAGCAGGGCATACATGAAGCACAGCAGACACGAAGCGCCAACAGAGGGCGTGCCAGTGTTGTGTGTGTGTGTGTGAGTGTGTGTCTGTGTGTGAGTGTGTGTGTATAAGTGTGTGTGTGTGTGTGAGAGAGTGTGTGTGTGTGTGAGCGGGTGTGTGTGTGAGTGTGTGTGCGTGTGAGAGAGTGTGTGTGTGTGTGAGTGGGTGTGTGTGTGAGTGTGTCTGTGCATGTGAGAGAGAGTGTGTGTGTGTGAGTAGGTGTGTGTGTGAGTAGGTGTGTGTGTGAGTGTGTGTGTGAGAGAGAGAGAGAGTGTGTGTGAGTGTGGGAGAGAGAGAGAGAGAGAGTGTGTGTGTGTGTGTGTGTGTGTGTGCATGAAGCGGAGGAGAGGGCCGTACAGCATCGAAGTGCGTGGAGAGAAGCAACTCCAAGTTTCCTGCACACTTCCTGGTGCCCTCCCACAACCCCACACACACACGCACACACACACGCACACACTCAGAGAGGGAAGTCGAATCAAAGAGCATGTAATCACATGAGTCGAAAGCGAATAGGTAATGCTCACATTCGAGCTGTCAAATCGTGTTGGAAAAGACACCGGGGGGTCTGTTCGAACGCTGCATGCTCATCTTCTACCACTGCAGGGACGCTTGAGAGAGGGGCCGCTGTACGCTGCCCCTCCTCCTACCTCCGACCTCATTCTCCTCCACTTGCACGGCAAGCCTTGAGGGGCCGCGCATGAGCGGGCGCAAGGCGGCGCTGACCTGTGGAGGTCCCTGTAGCGAGACGTGGAGAGGCGGTGCGCGTCAAAGGCCAGCGACGACAGAGCTGCCCGCACACACAGAGGCCAGGGGGGACGGGCAAGGCGGAACCATGTCGGCCGGGAGAGTAGGGATGACATGGTGAAATTGGTCGTGGGAGACGGAGGATTGCACGGCAGTGCAGATAGCAGGGTACGGTACTGAAAGACTACGACTGCTGTGCTGCGGAGCATGCGGCCATGCCATCATGGCATCATAAAATATTTGTGATTCGTGTCAAAATGTAATTATGTGGTTTTGTGATTATGTGGACATGTCTGTAGGTGATCATACCGTATGCTCTCCCCGCACCGCACCTGCATTGAGGGATTCCATGTGCCCGTTGCGATGTAGATCCACCATCACCCTGCCATGCACACACAAGCCCACACACGCCCATACACACGCACACGTGCGCGTGACGCACACTCACACACACGCCTGACATGGCCGTCAGCAATCCGCGTGCGACGCACCCCGAGCACACGAGCAGCGTACAGCAGCGCGAGCAGCAAGACGGCGAGCAATATGCAATGCCTGCGGGGCCATGTGGGCTCGCCAGGATCACCCGTGCCCACTGCCCCTCTCTGCATGCCCACTGTTTTTCCCAGGCAGCAGCAGGTGGTGAGAGGATCATGGGCGCTGCGCGGCGTAAACGTCAGATGGATGCACGTACACCACCATACACGCATTCTCGCATTCTCGCATTCTCGCATTCTCGCATTCTCGCATTCTCGCATTCTCGCATTCTCGCATTCTCGCATTCTCGCATTCGAGTATTCAGGCATGCGCCCATGCGCCCATGCGCCCATGTGCCCATGTGCCCACGCGCAACCCCCTCTCACCCCTCCACGTCCACCAGCAGCGCCAGGTCCGCCTGCCGTCCCTCCCCGCGCCACCGCTCTTCGCCGTGCGCCCATCCGCTCGCCCTCACCGCTGCTGATCGTCGTCGTCGCGCCGCTGGCAGCGAGCGGGCGCGCTGGGGGGCAAACGATGCCTGCGCGCAGCGACACGAGGCACGCACACACGGGTGGCCAGGGTGGGGCAACGAAGCGTGGCAGCGTGAGGCGCACCACATCGTCATGCGCTTGAGCCCCCGTGACCCCGTGCACAACTACTACTGTGGCGGGCGAGGGTCGCCAAGAGTGGTCCCGGTCTGGTAACCACCTGGAGAGGCGGGCCGTCGATGGCCCACAACGGCGATGGCGGCTGGCGGTCACGATTGACGGCGAGCGGCAGGCGATGCGAGTGAGGCGTGGGAAGGCGGCACGCCATGCAGGGGGGATGATGGCAGGCGCGCTGCAGCCGAGGGAGCACGGACTCGCTGCGTGCAGGAGCTAACGGTTGCAGGGGCGAGCCACGCAATTACTAGACGAGACGGGCAGCGGAGCGCGCGACGGGCAGCGGTAATAAAAGCACGCAGCAGCGGGTGGAGTGGGGAGGCAGGATGTCTAGGAACTAGTGTCTAGGAATGCGTACTTGGTGGGAGTGCTGAATTCCTGATTCACGCATTGGCCCTGAAGCGCTACTGAACTGATCCGAGGCGAGCCGATTCAGCCAAGCCTTGTGCAGGCAGGGCGGAAAAGAGTGTCGATTCGGACGGGTGGCCTCGATTGGCGATCGACGGTCCACGGGGGACGCACCAGGCGAACCAGACAGGCCGACTTGCTTCGGCCAATCGGCGGTGGAAGAGCAGCTTCCCCATTCGTCCAATTTCGTGGTGCACGGAAGGCGGAGGAAACGGAGAGTCAATCGAAATTGTTCAGAATGTCATGGTTTTATACAATCAGGAGTGAATGGAGATGAGGGAACTACAATGTAGACCAAGTATGGCACTGGCTATGCTACAAAACATCTAAAGATTCAAGACAGTGGCAAAGTTTTGCGTGGAGGACATGTTGCGAAGGCCTTCCCAGCAACTCTCATTCCAACACGAGACAGCAGTGGCGTCGGGGGGGGGGGGGGGGGGGGGGGGGGGCAAAAGAATGCTGTAATGGCTGCGGTGCTGACATGAGCCACTCCTTGGTTGGCAGGCCCCATGCAGGCAAGCAGGCGCGATCGGCGATCAGGCGAGGTATCTGAAGTTGTTGGGGTTGTCCTTGTCGCGCTCCAGGTACTCGCGCGCAATGAGGTCCTCGATGCGCTTCTTTATCACCTTAAAGTCCGGCTGCCACGCACCACACACCCACACACACACACACACACACACGCAGTACAGCACACAGGAAGATGAGAATATGATACAACGAGCCATGGTCGCGCAAGCGGGTTCCTCGAACCCAGCAAACGTCTAGGGGGCAAGTGCCTGATACAACTCACATCGCATGGCAGGAAGGCACATAATGCAGGATGCAAACGCCTGTGGCAGGCCTGCAAGCCGGGTGTGAGTGGAGAGGAGGTTACCTTGAACATGCGGCCTAGTTGCTCAACGCATTCGAGCACGAGCTGCTGGTGGCCCAGCACCTTGCGGCTCTTCATGATGCGCACGATGGATGCGTCTATGGCGTACCGCCGGTCCTTGTCCACATCCTCAATCACCTTCTTCTTCTCGTCCATGGGCGGCAGCGGCACCTGCATGCCACCACCGGCAACAAACAAGACGAGCACAACCAGGAAGAGGCACGGACAGGGTAGTGAGACTGCTGTGAAGTGGGTGGGCAGTGAGAAAGGAGGCAAGGCGAGCAGGCAGGGCGCTGGCTGACCTTGATGCGCCTCATCTTGTCGGTGAAGGCGGGGTTGAAGGCGAAGACGTCGCTGTGGTCGATGGTCTTGCCGGCGGGCTCCTTGAGGAGGATCTTGTACTTGGCGCACGACAGCGAGTGCAGCAGCCGCACTATGTCCTCGTCCGTCAGGTTCAGCTGGTTCTTGATGTCGCTGTAGCTCAGGCGCTCCGACGCGTTGAACAGCAGCAGCACGGCCGCCTGGTAGGTCGTGACGATGAGCTCGATGGGCTTCGCTGTGAACTTGCCCGTCACGTTGCACGTGCCCAGCGAGTAGATCCACGTCAGCTTGCGGTGCTTCGTCTTCGTCTGGTAAAACTCCTTGAACACCTCCACACACCGCACCTGGTGCCACATGCACGCACGCACACACGCACACACGCGCACACGCGCGCGAAGAGAACAGCACATTTGCACACCCATGAACGTGAGTGAAGCACATGGCGTGAACAGCAAATTCCAAAAGAGATCGCAATGAAAGCACATGCATTGAAACTTGTAAGCTGAGTGAAGAAACACAAAACAAACCAACGGCGAACATGTCCGAACAAACATGCGCACCATTTCAGCGGGCAGGGCAAGGTCAGAGGACTTGTAGGAGGGCCAGAAGCCAGTGGTGAGCACGGTGACGGTGAGGTCGATGCCTGGGCTGTTGCCGGGGTTGTCCGCCAGGTACTCCTCAAACGCCGCCTGCTGCTCCCGCGCCAGCGTCAGGTCCGTCACCTGGCACACACAAGTACATACACGCGCACACACACATGCACACACACCTTCAACAACAGCCCACACCAGCTTAACCCATTGGGAGAGCGGTGCAAAGGGCAGCAGCAGAGGACAGGAGGGTGGGGGTGCGCAGTGGGGTGCACTGACCATGCCCTCCATCTTGGAGGTGAACTGGCCGCCGCACTGCTGCTTGAGCTTGGTGAGGATGCTGCGCTCGTGGTCGTCGTTGGCACTCTTGTCAAACAGCAGACGCCGCGCCAGTTTCTTGCTGCCATGGGCGCGCGGGGTACACATGGGACGACAATGTGGGCGTAGGCTGAGAAAGCGCCGACCAAAAGCATGAGACGGAATGCAGGGGGCGGGGGCATGCATGGCAGGTCAGTTAGTGCTTCGAAGCAAAAGAACGCAACAATGGGCGTGGAGAAGAAGACGTGAGTGAACATGCTTGGTTGCAAGCCTTACCGGTAAAACTCGGCAAACAGATCCTTATCACTGATGTACGCAAGGAGCTTCACCACCTGCATAGCAAGGGCAGAAGCACAAAAAGAGCACAGGAGACAGTTGCAGTCCAGCTAGAATCCATGCCACTCTAAGCCATGGAATGATGACAGCAGGGAAGCAAGGCCACCCAGAAAAGCACTCCCTTGAAGAACACACCCCACGACCCCACAGCCCAGGCCCATGCCCACATTCCATACATGCCACTGCACACACTCCTCTGCACCACTGTCCTCCTCTGCCCACTCCTCTGCAGACTGTCCTCTCCCCCCTATTCCCCCCCCACCTTCTCGAGCGTGTCCTCGATGGCCTCGTCGCTGAGCTTCTCGCTGCCGCCCTTCTTGAGCAGGTTGTCGCAGAACGTCGCCAGCAGCTCCGCACTCGTGCTGCCGCCCACGCCCTTGTTGCAAAACGTCTCAAACGCCTCCTTCAGCGCCTGCACCCACGGCACACACACGGCCACACAGGTTGCCACGCGCATGCACATCACATCCAAAAACACGGTTAGAGGGTGTGAGGGGGGGGGGGCAAGGAGGCAATGGGCAGAGGAGGAGAGTTTAAGAGCAACAGCGGAGATGCTGACAAAAACAGTGGCTGGGAGACTGAAGGTGAGCAGAAGAAAGGGTGCTGGGAACAGGATAGCCGGGACGCCAGGACAATGTCCAGCGCAAGGAGCGTGCGACGAGGAGCGTGTCAGGAAGAAGGAGGAGCGGGCAGACCTTGTGGAAGAGCGAGTGGTTGAGGAAGCAGTGGCTGACGTATTGCAGGTACTTGTCGTGCAGCTCTATGACCTTGCGCACGAACGCCTGCTCCTGCGCGCCGACTATGTCCTTCTTCTCCGCCTGCTCTCACGCACGCACCCAGTCAGCATGGCTTGAGAACGTGAGAAGGATGCACCATGGCCGGAGATGGTGAGTGCAGAGCAGGAGGGGCCAAGACAAGCGCAGGCGAGAGGAGGCAGAGTGCAACGTGGTACGGGGCTGAAATGGTGTACACAGGGAGTGAACGCAATGGCGACATGAGGAGCAGCGCACTGACCTTCTTGTTGCTGGCAGCATCCTCTGCCTGCTTCACCAGCGCTGTGCCCTCATCAGTCACGTGCTGCCGTGCACCCCGCGCCCCCCCCCCCACACACACACCCACTCCCCACCCCCCACCCCACACACACGCGCACACACACACGCACACACACACACACGATGTCAGTAACAGCGCAGCGTATCAGAGAAAAGCAAACAGGCGCAGGATTTGAAAGGGCGCACTCGGAGCAGGGAGCAGCGGAGGTGGGCTAACCTGGCGGAAGATGGTGGCGATGGGCTCCAGGCCCTTGGGGATGCGGCAGAACAGACGGTACATGCGCGACAAGTCGTCCACCTGCCACCCCGCACACACGCACACGAACCCCGCACAACAAGTATACACGCAATGCTCTCTCAGTGGCAGGTTTAAAGGAGGACGCGGCGGAAGAGGAGAGCAGTGGAGCGCCCTGCTGCAGGCTGATCCCCGGCAACCGAGGAGGAGTGAGGGGGATATCGGGGGGCAGGGGAAAGCACGAGGAGTGGCGGTAAGAGAGAGACACTGCGACTTGCCTTGTCGTCCTGCAGCAGAGCGCGGCAGCCCGAGTGCTCCTTCTCTAGCAGCTGCTGCTCGTACTGAGTCAACAGCTCGTGCTGCACCTTCTGCTCACCACGCACAATGCCACGCCACGCACATCACAACGTGCCACACACGCAACCCGTGGGGAGGTGGGGGCGGGGGGAGGGAGGAGGGGGAGGGGGAGAGATCAGCCAGACGGGACCAGTGGGCGAAGTAAAAGGCCGAGTGTGAGCAGACGGGCAGTGAATGGGTGGCGAGACAGGAGAGGACAGGAGAGGGCGGGGTGGGTGAGTGAGTTACCTCGAGCAGCTTGCCTTCACTGGACGCGTGCAGATAGTGCGACACCCGTTCCTTCTCCCTCTTCAGACACTCCTCCGCCTGCACGCCAAACAGCAGCACGCTCTCAGTCCATGCGCGCACGCAACCTGACAACAACAAGCACGATGCTACCGCGCCCACCGCCGCAGCAGCAGGAGCAGGAGCCAGAGCCAGAGCAAGGGAAGGAGAGCGAGGGGGGCGGGACCTTGAGCAGGTAGTCGGGGCAGGAGTCCTCCATGATCCACGACGCGGCCTTGCGCGAGTAGTAGGCGGACGTGGCGTGCAGCATGAAGACCTCGAAGTCCTGCTCGTAGTTGTCCATGGTGTCCATGCCGATCTCCACGAAGATCCCCAGCACGTTCTTCAGCCCCGCGCGGTTGATCTGCTCGCCCTCCCGCTCCTTGTTCACCTGCACCGCGCAACCGCCACATCTTCAGTCCATCAGTCAGGCGGGGGGGGGGGGGGGGGGAGCGACGAAAACACCTGCGAGCTAGCGAGCCTCCTTCTTACCAAGGGAGCCTCAGTCTTACCAAGGCGAACAGCAGCAGAACACTACTTCAGCGCACTGAACGGGCGAAGCCACATGACATACGCAAGGGCACGAGGACTGAACTGAATAGTGCGGTAGTGCGACTCACCAGGTCGAGCACGGCGTCCTTGACGCTTATCCGGATCTCCTCGTACACCTGCACGCACGGGACACACGGCCATGGGAGGCACGCACACACACGCGCGGTCAAACGCGAGGGTTCACCACGTGCGGGCAGGGAGAGAGCGCGAAAGACCGATGCAAGCGGACAATCACACGGAAAGACACGAACAGTGCGCTTGCTGTATGACAGACTCGCCACGAACAGGCAGAGGCAAGCAAGGGTCGCGGGTGCGGGCGCGGGCGCGGGCGCAGGCGTGCGAGAGGCACTCACAAGGTCCTTGAAGCAGGAGAGGCCGACTTCCTTGAGCGTGGGCAGCTGACGGCGCGGGATGTAGTAGCGGTCCAGGTAGTTGAAGAAGCGCGAGAGCCAGCGCACCATGAGCTTGTGGTTGTCCCAGCGCCGCACCAGCTCCTTTAGCATGAACTCGTCGTGCTTCTCCTGCAGCGACGGCAGCACCTGCAAGCACGCGCAACACCACACCGCACCGTACCGCACCGCCACCGACCGCACGGCATGAGGTTTCGCTAGGCAGAAACGGAGATGATAGAGGGGTGTGCGACGAGGCAGGTACGCCGAGGTTGGCGGAGAGAGAAATGGGGGAAGAGAGACGAATTACCATGGCTCGGATGTAATCTTCGAAGGCCCCGCGGTATTTATCGTAGAGCTGCTGCGAGTAGTCTTGAGGATGCTTCTGCGTGCACATGTTGTAAATAATTCTGCCAGGACGGATATGCATGTCACCAGAACGCGACAACGCCGTGAGGAATCGGAAACCAAAAACGCGATTCAAAATTCAGCAGCGACGTGAAAAATCATGGAACAGAGTGAGCCTGATGCCAGCCATAGCAAGCCGCCTGATAGCGGTAAACTCTTGCCGGCACAAAAATAAGCGATCGAACAGCTGCGACCAAGGCAGATGACCAATAGGCACCGTGAATTCGTGTCATCAGGCCTTCCAGCGATCCCAGGGGCTAAAAACTCTCGCCAGCATCATAGAGCTTGCCAGTGTATGGCCGGAATTCGCGTGACTACTGAGGAGGACTAACAGCGCAGTGCGAGGCGAGGGTTACTCCTTCCTTCCTGGGGAGCATCTGCAAGGCAGGAAGCGTGGTAGAGGAGACGGAATCTGAGGGACGTACGTGTAGAGGTTGATGTACTCTTCGTGCGTGAACCGCTGGTCCGGCACGCCCTCCAGAAACTTCTCCAGCTTGTCGATGCCCCTCCGCATCTGCTCCCATCCCTCCTCTAAACTGATCGGCCGCCGATCGCTCATCGTGCACCAATACCTAAGCTCCCGACGAAAGCTAGTACGATGGAGGTGAAACGCTAAGAATTTATTAAAGATACGGTGAGATGAGCGTGTGCGCAGATCTAGCTAATGAGCGATAGAGGAATAGAGGATGAGACTAAGCGAAATCCAAAAAGTATGGTGCGGTCAGGCCTTGACCCGATAGACCTAATCCACTACCCTCCTAATAACCCTCGAGGCAAGCGGCACGACAAGCAGCATGGGGGGCATGGGATGGGATGGACGGAACGGGAGGGACATTGTCTTGCCGTGCGTGCTACTGCTGCTGCCTCGGGTGATTCGTGCTGCTGCTCCGCCACCACGCCCGCCACCCCCCCTTCCCTGCCTCACCCTTTCCCCGGCTTCAGATGGCGGAAGGCTGTCGGACCTGGGCGACCGCGTTTGATTGTTCATTCGTACTGTATTTCGGTTGCGTGCGCTGAGCAGCCTTGGTTTTTGGTTCAGTGGGGTTGAATGTCGCAAGGAAGTGGATGTGAAGTGTAGCATGCTTTGCTGATGAGTCCCACAAATCTAGAGAGCTAAATTAATGTAAATAAAAACCAAGAATGCATGCTTTGGTAAAATGCTTCTGCTTTGCTTTTCCTTGCTGACGCTTTGTTTTTTGTTTTGTTTTTTTTTCTGGCGTGGTACCTTAGCTTTCTAACATGCTCTGTCCGAACTCCCACCACTCTGTAAGGGTCCTAATTATCAGTTTTTTTTTTTTTTTTTTTTTTTCTGATTGTCTGATTTTCATAGTGCCTTATCCGGGTTTCTCTTATTAGAATACACGAATTACTAGAAACAAGGATGAACAAGGAAGATATAGGATTCTAGTTGTACCCTTTAAGAAAATACACCAATCTAGCCTATAACTTCTACATACACATATATGTACCGTAATCCCCGGGCTATTAGACCCAATGGCTATTAGAATTACATAAAAATGTGTCTATGTGAACATTAATAGAAAGAATGAATGACTAGAGTGATGAGATACAAGACAATATAATATAGAGAGTTGTACCCACTAAGGCACAAACATATATAGTCTACAGAAACTGCATAAGTTATGTTTGACACACCCCCTAGACTATATAGGGGCAGTGCCTAACAAAGGAAGAAGCAGCTCAGGGCGGCGCTTCTAGTCCAGCCTCGGAGACAAGGGTTTAAAGACCAGTCAAAGGGTAATATATATATATATATATATATATATATATATATATATATATATATATATATATATATCAATGACAGTACAAGGTCAAGACCCTAGCAAGTGAGAGGCTACAGGAACGAGACCTAGCTGTACACAGTGCCGCTGATGATCTTTAGGCACAAGCGCCTTCGTAAAGATATCAGTTGTGTTGGCACCGGAGGCTAAGTGTACTACGCGCGCCTGGCGGCGCTGCTGGAGCTCACGCATGAGGAAGTACCGCAGCTGAATGTGCTTCGCTCTGCCCTCGAGTCGAGACTCCTAACATAGGAGGATCATGGCCCTGTTGTCAGCGTAGAGGACCGGGGCAGAGCTAGGCCGCTCACCTAAGTCAGTGAGCAAGAAGGTCAGCCAGCGGAGCTCCTGTGCTGCCATGGCACCGGCGTAGATCTCGGCCTCATAGCTGGACTGGGCAACAGACGAGGAGCGGGTGGCTCTCCACGAGACGGCACCTGAACCAAGGCTGAAGCAGTAGCCCTGCGAGGACTTGAGGGTCTCGGCGTCGTCTTCCCAAAAAGCGTCTGTGTGTCCAGTAAGGACCATTGGCATGCGTCCTCCTAGCACTAACCCCATGCCCGATGTACTTGCAAGATAACGCAAAACCCTCTTAGCGGTAGAACAGTGCTGAGGTCGGTGTCTGCCTACGACCACAAAGCGAGCCAAGATGCTGAGAGGGTATGCGAGATCTGGGCGAGTGCAAGTCATCAGGTACATGAGGCAACCCACCAGCTCTGCGTAAGGACCACTCGGCTCCACTGACTCCTCAGGAACTAGAGTGGTCTAGAGGCAGAGGAGTGGGCTGTGCGGAGGAGAACTGAAGGCCGAACCTCTGAAGGACCTGGCGCACCAACTGTGACTGAGTCAAAGTGATAGTGCGCGCTGCTCTGTCCCTGGAGATCTGCAAGCCAAGGTAGTGGCGCAGTTCTCCAAGGTCATTGCAGGTGTGTCTCTTCAGCATCTCTGCCTTCACGGAGGCCAGTGCGTCCCTGTCTGCTGCGGTGAAGACCAGGTCGTCTACGTAAACAAGGATGTAGAACGGAGTCTGGCCAGCACGAACGAAGAGCAAGGGGTCTGCAGAGGACAGAAAGAACTGCAGGTCAACAAGCGTAGCACGCAGCGTGTCGTGCCACTCACGGGGAGCCTGCCGCATGCCGTAGACGGGGCGCCACAGGAGCTACTGGGTCCCAGGAGGGAAGGTGCTAGTGAAGCCTTGAGGGCGGCGCAGGTAGACCTGCTCATGTAGACTGCCCTGAAGAAAGGCAGTGGAGAAGTCGAGGGAGTGAAGCTCGAAGTCACGCTGAGCTGCTACGTGTAGCAGCACCCGAAGAGTAGTCATCTTCGGGGTCGGAGCGAAGGTCTGGAAGAAGTCCACCCGCTCGCGCTGACTAAAGCCTCTAGCCACGTAGCACGCCTTGAACACAGGCGGCTCTCCAGGAGGGTGCTTCACCTTGAAGAGCCAGCGGCCAGCGACTACGTTCACCCCAGGTGGGGGAACTGCGTCGACGTAGGTGCCGGTGGATCTCCAAGATGCCATCTCCTACTCCATGGCAGCTATCCACTAAGAGGCCCAAGGTCCCGAGTCCGCCTCAGCGTAAGTGCAAGGGGTCGGGATGTCGAAAGCGTCGGGGTCACCCTCAGGGACTAGAAGCATAGAGCAGAGATGGGGAGCAGCCTCGGAGAGGAAAGCAAGCTCGTACTGGCGGTCCTCCAGGACGTCACTGCCGAGGGCAGGATCACCCCCGACAGACGGAGGACAGGCAGGGTCAGAGACCAGAGCGGTGGCGTAGTCAAGGCGGCGGGTAGAGGCGAAGTCAGCGACCGCAGCGACAAGGGCGTCTAGACTCGAGACTGGAACAGACGGGTCAGTAACGAGAGAGGCAAGGACCCGAGGAACAAGAGGACGAGCGGCACGCAGGTAGTCAGACCGAGGGGGGGGAGCAACAACAAGGGAGGACAGAGGGGGCGACGAGACGAGTGGGAACGAAGCAACATAGGGTGAGAGCGCGAGACATGGGAGGTAGGTCGAGCACGGGAGGGGCGGCGAGACCAGACATGAGACGGAGGAGTCGGGTCAGGAGACAGAGGAGGGGACACAGGAGGGGAACGAGGGGGGAAACGGGCCAGAGACAAGTCCGGAGGAGGGAATACAGGGCCGTAGACAGGAGGAGGAGAAGGCATGGGCACGGGGTCAGGGGACGGAAGGCCGAGCAGACGAAGAGCGGACATCGGCGGGGACTGCTGCAGCGGCCGTGTGACACCGACACCGGGACCGCAAGCGGCCTGGCGGCTACCTCCGGAACACTCCACGCCAGCACCCCCAGAAGGAACACCCCCAGAGCTCAGAACCCCTCGAGCACCGGTACCACCCCCAGGCCCGCCGGGACAAGCCACGACAGGAGTCCCAGGACTAGTACCCACCCCAACTCCAGCACCCCCAGAGGCACGAACGTGAGCAAGGCAGCCCCAGACGTGGAACGCAGACACGTCACCAGGTGACCCAGACCAAAGAAGAGTCGGCAAAACCTGATGCTGCTGGGGGTGCGGCCACAGGTTAAGCTGGTGAGCGGCGTAGCGAACGGCGAACGGCCACAAAAAATGGGGTGCACCGGCATGGATCATGGAGGTGCGAGCCACCTCCATGACCAACCAATGCGTCACTCAGCGACCCCATTCTGCTGCGGGGAGTCCGGCAAGGTGAACGTCTGGGTGATGCCCTCCGCACGACAGAAACGACCAAGGACACCAGAGGCAAACTCGCCACCACGGTCAGAGTGGAGGCGCAAGACAGGGAGACCGCGGTGGACACGCACAGCGACAAGCCATGGGATAAGAACGGCAGGCACGTCAGCCTTCCGCTCCAGGGGGAACACAGTGGTGTAGCGCGTGTAGTCGTCGACAAGCACTAGGAAGTAGCGCTCTCGACGCGGGCTATGGACAGGGGTGGGGCCCCAGACGTCCATGTGAAGATTCTGTAGCGGTGCTGCGGTAGGGGGAAACGAGGAGGAGTGAGGGGCACGGCGGAGCCGGCCCTCGACGCAGGGCGTGCAAGGTGGGGCTGGGGAGGAGGGAAACTCAGGGAACGACCCGGGGAGGCCTAGGACAAGACCGTGCTGTGACATGTGACGCAGACGCGGGAGCGTAGGGTGACCTAGGCAGTGGTGCCAGAGAAGGGTCGGGTGGGTGAGAGACCGACAGGAGCAGGCAGCAGCAACCTGAGGAGACGCAGCCACCTGAGGGGGGGTCCCAGCCGGGGGGGTCACTGTGTCCAGTGTGAAAAGACCGAACACCGGGTCCCGGGGGAACGTGGACAGGGGGGCACCAGTGGCGGCCTCGGAACAGACAGCGTACCGCTCGTGTCCAGGGAACGTATTCGTGACGCTAAGGTCCCTGACGCTGTCGCTGCTGCGGGAAGGCCGCAGTTGCGGTCTCAGTGGCAGGGGCAACCGTAGCAATTGCGGCTGAGATGTCAGCATACGTGCACTAGGAGGGGAGTACAGCCTTGGAAGATAGGGGTTGCCACAACACCGCGCGACTGAGCGATAGTGCGCTGGTGAGTCTCTATCTCAGACAGAGCAGTGACAAGGCGGTCAGGGTGAGGTCCCCAGGGTGCTGGCTAAGGAAGTGGTCGCGGGCAGTGGCTAAGCGGTCAGGGAGGCGCATGGCAATAAGGTACAGGGTAGCGCAAAACGGCGGGGGGAAGGCAGTGAGCTAGATGGTAGTACTAGCAGCGCGGTAGGTAGTCTCTTGTGCACGAAGGTGAGTGGCGAGGTAAGCGACAGTGGGGAAAGCGGAAAGATCGGGGAATAGAATGGGGAGGATTAAGCGGCCAGCGGAGACAGAGGCAGGCATGGAGTTGCGCGCAACTACTGCATCTAGGAGGTCCTTGGCGTTCACGACAGTAGTGAAATGCGGACGCTCAGACAAGGGAAGCGCATGACTAATGGCGAGCTGTGCTACAGCATCGCGAGAATCCCAGACAGCGCGAGCGGGTGCAGCAGCAGAAAAGGCCTCACTCTCAGCAGTGGTGGGAGCAGTAGGAA